AAAAAGATAGCGAGATAGTTTTCGAAGATAACGGAACTTGTATAAGATCCCTTAAGTCTCCCTATCTCCCGCTATCTACATATATCTTCGGGCGCCCCTCTGTGTATCATCTGAAGCGGCAGAAACAGGAGACGGCTCGCCAGTTTTTGGCTAGGTGGGAGATGGCTGAAAGGAAGGTGAAGGAGCACAAGGTCGACTTGCCGAGCATCTACCGCGGGTTTCTTCTGATCAATGCCCTTGGGTTGAATGACCAGGAGATCAAGGCTCTCCTGAACTACACCCATGGTTCGATCGAGCCTGGAGAAGTCCGCACGTGGCTTCGCAAGAACGAGGCAAAGCTCCAGGCCAACCAGCTGGGGACAGATACTCTTCCTCAGCGCGGCCGCACCTCCACGACAGCCTCCTCACACAGCACTCACCTGGTCGAGAGTGCTACGGGCAGCTCGGCCTTGGACGGCGGGGAAGTCAGCGAGATGGAAGCCCTCCTCGCGGACTTGGTTGAGGACACCGAGGGCCAGGCCGAGGACGACCTTGGCACCATCGAGGAGGACGAGGCGGCGGAGATCCTGGCGGTCATGATCAAGGAAAAGCATGAAAAGAAGACTTTCAGCCAATCGGCGCAGATCAAGAAGGACCGCGAGCTCTCTCGAGGTTATGGACAACGCCAAAACCGCGGACAAGGCCCCATCAAGCCCGGCTTCTACCGTTTGAGCATCCAAGAATTGAAGCAACGCACACGTTGCCGAGCCTGTGGACGAGTCGGGCATTGGAAACGTGAATGCCCCGATCAGGCGGGCAACCACGAGAAGGCGGCGCACTTCTTGGAGGTCGAGCTGGAAGAAGGCGATGATGCTCTCTTTTTTCATTTCCTGGAACAGGAGAACTTAGATTCCTCAGCTGTGCCCCAAGTTTTTGAGCAAGAGCCAGACGGCTACGGACCGAAGGATTCCTGTGAGCCCAGCCGAGCGTACACAGCCCAGGAGTTTGAGGTTTTGTATGGCGAGAGTAGTGGTGTTGATGAGGTTTGTGCCACGATTGACACCGGATGTCCGAGAACTGCCGTTGGTGCTGAGACTTTGCATCGGATGATGAAGCATTGGCCGAATGATTTGAGATGGTTTCGTCAAAAAGAAACTAATCGTTTTCGGTCGGTGCATGGAATCTCGGAAACCAAAGTCAATGCTGTCGTTCCGTGTAGTTTAGGAAAGAAAGGTTGTTATCTGAAACCGGCAGTTTTCGAGGGCGAACACAGTCGAAAAGCCCCCTTCCTGATTTCTCTGAAGTTTCTTAGACATTGCAAGGCCATTATACATTTGGAAACCGACGAACCGTTCCTTGAGCTTACTAGGACACATGTGAGAGTTCCGTTGCGCATAGGTCCTTCTGGAGCCTTGCGTGTTCCTTTGAACAAGTTCACTTCAGAGATGCGTCAGCACCTGTGCCAGGCTGAGAGTAGTTTGCAGGACCGCGGCCCCGGTGAGTTCGAGATACTGACTCTCAACGACACAGCGCTTCAAGCTCAAACCGAGATCGAGTTGAACCCAGCGGCAGCCCCTACTCGCCCCGTCAACCATGTTTTCTCCTCCGGCAGGCAAGCGTGCCCGAGCAGAGACCCAGGACAACCGCTGGGCGATCTTTGCCTGGCAGGTCGTCATCTACAAGGTGATCATGATCGTCAGGCCGGCTTTGCGGCTGTTACAGAACTTGTGCCGCCCCTCACCAATCGAGGCGATTCGCCTGGCCCAAGGACACTGGGACGAGCTGCCGACAAGCAGCTTGACAGAAATTCGGGACGAGGCTGCGCGGGTGATCAAGAACCGCCGCAAGGAGAAGGAAACGATCTCGGAGGAGGGCCTCTACTCCCCCTCGGAAGGACTCTACTCCCCGTCGATGACTTACAGCCCGGTAAGCCCGGGACAACGAGTACAGCATGTCCGTCCGTCACCGACATCGGTAACCCACGGCCAGCGGGCGATCCAATCGCCAGAGCCGAGCCCGCAGCATCAGCTCGGAAGCATCGACGAACAACGGCTACGAGTTGATCGAGCAGGCAAGGCCCGAGGGTATCAAGGAACGACTGGTGGACAAGAACCTACAGGAGAGGATCCTCGATCGAGGGATCCAGATGCTCTACACCGGCCTCCCGTCCTGCCACTGCGACAAAGCGGCCAACGTCGAGGTGGTGCTGAAAAGCAACGAGAACTATCTCAAGACGTTCTTCCGGTGCTACCTCCCGCCGGGACCCAAGCAGTGCAAGTTCTTTGCGTGGACGGTACAGCAACCGCTGCTCGAAGATCAGTATGCCCCCTTGCGGAACCCGCTGCAGAAGACCGTGAACTACCAGATGCTCCCCCGGGAGCTTCTCTGCGAGATGGTTCAGGACATCTGCGAGCACAAGAACGGCTTCGTGGCCACCGGGAGCAACCAGCACTACAAGCAGGAGAGGTGCCGGATGTGTCAAAAGCTAATGAAGCGGGCCCGCCGGGAACTACGGACCATCAGTCCGACGGGATCAACGACAACCGAGGCGGCCTACCCCTCCGACATCGATCGGCCGTCGGCGTCTACAGCTCGCCACGGGCGGCACCACTCCGGCGGGATCCGCTGAGCTTGAGCGAGGCCATGGGTCAGGACGCGGGAGATGAAATCCCCCTCTGTCGCCGAAAGCGACGACTACTCCAGCAGGCGCTCAGGAAAGCTGAGAGCCGACGGCAACAGGTTTTCAGCATGCTTTGTGAATCACCGATATCAGGGTGCCAAGGGAATGGTCCTGACCAACAGAGCCTTCAGACATTTGATTTTCGCAGTGAAAGAAGCCTACAGCAGTCCAGTGGCCTGCCCATTCACGACTGTCAGCATCTGCTTGGTAGGGACGCCCCAAAACCTGAAGGTAGGACTGCGAGTGTCGCGTGGCTGTCAGGAGATAGGGTAGTTCCTCCGTGGTCCGAGTGCGAGCACAGTCTTAGGTCATGTCAGCCTGATCTGCTTGTTGTCTGGTCACCAACCATCAGTGCGATTCAGACATGTGATCAGAAGCTTATTCAGACATGTGCTGACCTGAACGTTCCTGCGGTGTTTTGCCTGTCTCAAACTCCAGGAGGCGATCCAAAGGATCGAAACGTGTTGATCAAGCTGTTGTGCGTTGATTCCGGAGGTCTGTTTAGAGGGCACCTTCTTGAGAAGTGCCCGACCGAGCATGCCCCCATGAACATGGTAGCAAAGCTGTTGCGAGCAGTTGTGGCCCAATGGTTCGTGACGACCGTGGGTCAGATCTACCAGTACAGCCTTTTGGAGAATGCGACGGCCCAGAACTACCTGGACAAGACGATCCTGGAAGTCCTGAGCATCAGCGACTTTGGCGAGAGCGTCGCTACCGGGAACCTCCTGGACATCTACGCCGAAGACCTGGAGGATGACGGGCCCGAACAAGCCAACGGAGAACAGCGAGTTCAAGACCCTGGCGGTCCCATGGCTGCGGAACTAGACGATGGCGGAGGAATCGGGGCCGACCCGTTACTTCCCGAACAAGCCGACGGAGAACGACGAGTTCAAGTGCCTGGTGGTCCTTTAGATATAGAACCAGATGAGAAGCCACTACCTGGTGTACGAGGGCGGACAGTGCAACAGCTCGTCAAAAGAGCTCATGAAGGACTAGGTCATCCCAACGTCGACCGCTTTGTCAGGATCCTCAAGAGTGCCAAGGCAAGCCAGGAAGTGTTAGCAGCGGCTAGGAAGCTTCAGTGTAGCACCTGTGAACGATTTGCCGAGACACGTCCCCAACGACGAGCAGCACCTCCCAAGGAGTACGGCCTGAATGAAGTGGTTGGTCTCGACACCCTATGGTTGCCGTGCATCGATGGTCGCAAGAAGCTGGCACTGAATATCCTGGATTGGTCCTCACACTTCCAGATGGTGGTCCCTATCAAGACGGTCAGCCCGGAGGCGGTATGGGTCGCATTCCAACAATGGACCCGAATCTTCGGTCCGCCACGTCAGTTGTATGTGGACCAAGGACCAGAGTTCAAGGGCACCTTCAAAACCCGAGCCAGCCGAGATGGAATACACGTAGAGCCGAGCAGTTTGGAATCGCCGTTCCAGCGGGGATCTACGGAGAGACACGGCAAGACCTTCAAGCTGATTCTCTCAAAGGCCATGAACCAGTACACCTGCCAGGATTACGACACCCGGAGGTCTCTGGTGGATACAACCATCATGATGAAGAACAGGTTGGCCAATCGGGGAGGTTTTTCCCCAGTGCAACGCGTCCTCGGATACCTCCCGCGGATCCCTGGAGGACTTCTCAGCAGCGACAGCAAGGACCTGGAGGCCTCCCGTCCGGACACTGTGGGTGACCGAACTATCCAAGATGCCATGGCAATGCGGAAAGCAGCTGCGACTGCCTTCTTTGCGGCGGACTGTGACCAGGCGCTGAAGAACGCCCTGGCAGCGGGGCCGAGGCCACAGATCGAATATGTGGCCGGCCAGATGGTCTACTTCTACCGCATTGGCCACTCCAAGAGCGGGGGACGCATACCAGACCTGTGGTGTGGTCCGGCCCGAGTCATCATGACGGACCTCCCAGGAACCTTATGGCTGAGCTACCAGGGTGGTGTCGTCAAGGCCTCTCCGGAAAGAGTTCGTCCTGCGAGCCAAGAAGAGCTACTGACCATCTCCGGATGGCTGGAAGGACTCTCGCAGGTCAAGAAGGACTTCGAGCAGAACCCGAAGCGCGGATACGTGGACCTCAGCAACGAGCCGGTCCCCGTCTTCGAGGAGAGCGAGGACCAGACCGCCGATAACACCGAGGACGTTCCTGCCGAGCCCATCGAGTGGGAACCTGGTCGGCGAGTGCGTCAGAAGACTTCTCCAGAAAGTCTGGCTGATGTGCGACTACCAGCGGTTCAAGACGAGTCCGCCACCGCGGAACCGAATACAGCTCTCAGCTCCTGGGAGCCAGTCCCAGAACCTCGGGTCAGGCCTTTGGAAAGGAATGAGGAAGACAATGGGACAGGTGAGGAACGGCCTACGAAGAGGACACGGGTGGAACTCCTGGAGATCTACTATGCCAAGCTGGAGACCCTGATGAAGGTACGGCAGCGAAAGGAGATTCGCCTAAAGGACCTCAACCAGCACGACCTCGACTGCTTCCTTAAGGCGGCCGAGAAGGAGATCCAGAACAACCTCTCCACCAATGCCTACGAGATCCTGGACTTGGATGAGAGTGCCCGGATCAGGCGGGAGAAGGGCGACCGGATCATGGAGTCGAGATTTGTTCGGACGGCCAAACCTTTGGAGGAGAGTGACGTGGACAAGGCCCGATTCGAAGGAGTACTTCTCGGCGACGGGCGTGGCGGACCATGCAAGGCGAAGGTCCGGCACGTGATGAAAGGTTTTTCCGAGAACGGTGCTGAGGAGCTGGACGCGGCTACACCTCAGGTGACCAGGGACGGAGTGGTAGCCACCACTCAGATCATCGTCAGCAAGGGCTGGAAATTGGGCTTCTTGGACTTCACCCAGGCCTTCCACTCCGGCGACCCGATAGAGCGAGAACTATATGCTGAGCAGCCTCAAGAAGGTATTCCGGGTCTGAAAAGAGGCCAACTCCTACGCCTACGAAAGACATGCTATGGTCTTTTGGACGGGCCAATGGCCTGGTTCCGCCACTTCAAAAAGGTGTTGACCAAGGAGCTCGGCTACGTACAAAGTGTGGTGGACCCCTGTATCTATTACTTGTACCGCGACGGGCAGACCGGCTGGGACAGTCTTCAGGGAATCGTGTCAGTCGCTACTGATGATCTCCTACATGGTGGGGACGAAAGGCACCAACAGAAGATGGAGGTGCTCAACAAGAAGTATAAGCTGGGGAAATTCCAGTATGGAGAAGGACGTTTCACCGGCAAGAACTTCAAGCCCTTACCGGATGGTGGGGTCCTCATCGAACAGGAGCACTACATGGAGGAAAAGGTCAAGGTTATCCCGATTTCTCGGGCCCGACGGAACCAAAGGTACTCCTACTGCACGGACGCCGAGATTGCCGAACTCCGCTCCCTGGTGGGAGCTTTGGCCTGGCTGGCCAAGGAGACGAGACCGGACCTATGTGGAAGGACGTCACTGTTACAGCAGAGTTTTCCTCGGCCACGTGTACGTGACCTACTACAAGCAAATGCTTTGGCACAAGAGGCCATCAAGTATCCGGCCGGCATCAAGATTTCTCCAATACCATTGGAGCGGCTTCGGGTGAGTGTGGTTACGGACGCGGCGTGGGGAAATGCTACCTCGAACGAAAGCCCGGAAGGCTCTACAGGAGACTACTGGGTCGAGACCCCAACTCAGTGGGTACGATACCACAAGAAGGCCCGGAGGAGTCTCTTCCACCCCGGCATGGCTCCCGGAGGACCAGATCTTCACCAACTACGGCCAGGACGCCAGACCCTGATCCAGGAGGACGATCGCTACCGCACCCACGAGGATGAATGGAACCGCCCTAATCGGGTGAAACTCCTCGAGGCAGGCAGCTGGACCGGGCGAACGATTTTCTACAAGAGCGAGAAACAGCTCCCCCATGGAGACATACACGAAGGTTTTCTACAGCTAGCCCGGACGAGCAGTCAGGGCGGCCACATCCTTATCTACCACGACGCGGACCTTCAGTATGAGCCTTGGGCGGCCGTTTCTGTGGCCAGTTGGAAAAGCTACCGCTTGAAGCGCAAGGTCGTGAACACCCTGGCAGCGGAGTGCCAAGCCCTAGTCGCTGGAGTCAGCAATGTGCATTGGCATCGGTTCCTACTGATGGAGGCGCAGAACGACCCGGCCAAGGACCGGGATTGGGAAATCTCTGTGCAGAAGCTTCCGTTCATGGCTGTTACCGACTCTAAGTCCCTTTATGACACCCTGTCAAAACAAACGTGTCCTTTCAGTCAAGTCGATGACAAAAGAACGGCTATCGACATTTCGATTCTGAAACGCGACCTTGAAGGCTCTGGAATCGTTGGATCGATGGCCGAAATATGATTTCCGATACACTCACGAAGAACTCCGGTGGCAATTATCTTCGTTTGTCATGTGCAACGGGCGATGGACGCTCAACGAGCAGGGCTTTTCACAGCTGGAAAGAGACCAGCGTGAGCCAGTTTGTGACAGTTTTTACTTGTGCAATGGCCCTTGGAGCGATGATTTTGGTCAACATAAGTTAGGACCGGTGTGATTCTGTGCTTGTGTTTGCTTCCTCTTTTGACCAAATCATCACTTCCGCTCGCCTCAAGGGGTCTGCTAGTGGATGCATCATCTTTCGGTGCGAATGCAGGGAAAAGGCATTCGCCAGGCCGGATCGGTGACTGTGTGTCAGACTTGTGCACCCTTAGCTAATTACATAGGGTTTAGGGTGGGGTTAGGGATTAGGGGTTTGCAGTAGAAGCCCAGAAAGTTGGAACATGGGTTTAGGAGGATTGGTGCTAGGATCCGTTATACTTTACCTTAAGGGCATGAGGATATTGATGTTCCAACTTTCTGGCTTCGACCCTAAGCCCTACCTAAACCTTAAAGATACCCAAAACCCTAAAGATACAGATGCAAGATACACTGAACCCTAGAATTCCTAAACCCGAAAGGGTTGAGGGTTGTGGCCAGACGTTCAGGGTTAAGGGTTTATAAGCCTACGGCCTGAACCCAAAGCCCGAACTCAAAAGATGTCCCGAAATCCGAATTCCTAAACCCGACTGGGTCTAGGTTTAGGGTTTAAGCCTAAGGCCCATAAGCCCTAAGCCCGAAACCCCAAAGATACACGAAACTCTCCCTGAACCCTAATATAGGGGCCCTGATAATTCGAATAGGGTTTGGGGGTATATATTGTACAAAAGAAAAAATAAGGAACCCCAAAACCCTATTCTAAGTATGATTAAACCCTAAACTCTCCCTGAACCCTAAGCCCTACACCCCAACGATACCCGAAACTCTCCCTGATCTCCCTGAACCCTAAACCCCAAAGATACCCGAATCTCTCCCTGATCTCCCTGAACCCTAAACCCCAAAGATACCCGAAACTCTCCCTGAACCCTAAACCCAAGAGATACCCGAAACTCTCCCTGAACCCTAAACCCTAAACCCTAAACCCCAAAGATACCCTACACTCTCCCTGAACCCTAAGCCGATAAACCCTGAACCCCAAAGATGCCCGAAACTCTCCCGAAACCCTGAACCGTGAACCCTAAACCCTAAACCCTAAACCCTGAGCCCTAAACCCTAAACCCTAAACCCCGTGGGGCGTCCTTCGAGGGACCCCGCAGTCTCTCCTCGATGCCGGCCAAGTGCAGGTCTCGACCTTCGCTCAAGGTGGAAAGCCTAAACACTAAGAGGTTTATCTAAGGTTATTTAGGATTTAGGGTTGTATAGGTGGAAAGCCTAAACTCTAAGGGGTTTATCTAAGGTTTAAACGGTTTAGGGTCTAGGGTTTAGTTTTACCCTAAACCCTAAGGGGTCTATCTAAGGTTATAAACGGTTTAGGCCATAAACCCTGAACCCTGAACCCTAAACCCTAAACCCTAAACCCTAAACCCTAGACCCCTAAACCCTTTTAGTTTTATCTAAGGTTACAAAGCCTAAACCCAAGCGTTTCGAGTTGGGACTTTAGAGCTTCCGGGGTTCCGGGGTTCGGGTTTCGGGGTTTGCAAAAAAAACGGTTTAAGCCAGAAAGCCTAAACCCAAAGGGGTTTATCTAAGGTTATTGAGGGTT